TATATATATATATATAAACAGTCCATCTCAATTTCTCACAAGTGAATGCTAAATTTTGTGCAAGCAGCAGTACTCCCGGAATCGTTTTGTGCAGCAAATACCAACGGTGACACTCGGTAAAACGGTCGCAATAAAAGTACGAAAGCTACCGCACCTCCCGCTATCTTCCGCCAAACATTGCCGCTATCAAAGTCTAAATCTTCGTACACGAGAACATCTCGGCTTGTCTAAAAAAGCTTCTTATGCCGATTATGTGTGTAAATAAGTTATTCTTACAAACAGTTAAAGTAGTTCGATAAGAGTAGAGGTACTTTTGACTTTATTCGGTATCGTAGTGACAGGTAATGTCACTGTGAATGGACAAAATCGAATATCCGTACAAATCTGACGTTATGGAGTTCGATGCTCTACGCTTAGGGCGCGTTCTATGTAAAATGTCTCGTTTAGCTTTTCAGTTTTGTTTCTTAAACTCTACGAGAACTCGACATAATTTCAGATACACAGAGAATTTTCGCGATTCGAATTATATATGATTTTGCATAAAAGTAATAAATTCGTTTCAATATTACCCATTTCGTTCATCGCCCATTTTTCTCCTCCTGTGTAACGTACCGTAACGGTTAATTGATATATGGCGGTATGTATACTTCAATTTTATTTAAGGATGAACTCTCTATCTGCTTGTGTCACATATTACACCAATATTTTACTGGAAACGAACTACCTTATCGTACACTCATTACATCGCTTATATATTTACATACTCCTGTCTCATATTCCTGTCAGAGAATTTAGAATATATAATATTAAAAAAAAAAAAGGGAAGAACAACGCAAGAACGTTCGATAATCTTTTCTCATCGTACGTTTCAACCCGGCTATAGCGATCGCAGTTTGGTCGCGACTTACAACGAAGCGTAAGACTCGACGCAACGAACGGATGGTACGAACGACACTACGGACAGCGTCGTCCGTCCGGAAAACGTGTATTGCGTGAGGAGGCTACTGAATTTATGTCTTCCAAAACTTACCACTGACTTTGATACCTTTGACCTTCTGTAACTTCTTCTTTGGATCCGACAGTACCGGCATGGCTTCCCTACACGACTCGCTTCCTCCCGCACCAGAACTGCCTCCAGCTACATCAGCCTCCTGAATAACCGCACTTCCGGTTTGAGCCGTGAGAGATTTCTTTATATTAGCAATCTGGAAGAAGGTCCGACGAAAGCAACATTTACTAGGATGGTACACGACAGATATCTTTTAACAGTATGAAAAATGAATAGGTGAAAGAACAACTCACGTCTCTTTGTATCCTATCTTTATGGTAAGTAGCCTTTTGTTTCTCGACATTGGCTCTGGTCACTTGTTCATCAATGCATGCTAAAACTGTGTCGCAAGCTTCACCCCAGGCGGCCAATGTCTCAGCTACTATACCAGCATCACCTGGTCGGACGTCTCGTCCCAAGCCAGCATAATCCACTTCTAATTGTGAATTCTTTTGATCTAATTTCCCATGGATTATGTCAGCATATATCGCTTCAATAATCAGGTCTTCTAGATCCCTGACGTTCTTTATATCTAGCTCCTCCAACAGTACCGAGTAAGGTATACACTTGGATCTTGTGGCAAGGGTGACAATTGTGAGATGCTGAAGCTTCTTCTTTTGCGTCGGAGTTAATTCTAAAACTTTATCCTTATTTTCCAGGTAATCCTTATAAGTGCCATAGGCGAACAAATTCAAGGTGTTCCAATACTGGACGTAAGGGCCGTTCTCCAATTCTTTGATATTTGGCATATCCAACAGTTCGCCAAAGACATGAACACCGGGTGTTTCGACCGCCTGCTTTATGAGTTCCATGGCAGCGGCACCTTTTGCAGTTTTTGCAAGTAATACAAATTGCTCCAGAGGATTATTGGCAGACTTCTCCGAGGAGCTCCCACCAGTCATGATGATCCCTGATAAGAAGAGTTCGAAAACAAAAAGGTCATGTATAAATTAAAATACCATGTAAAACGTATATGGAAACACAGGATTCGTAGCGAATAAGTTAAATCGTTCGCAATAACAGAATTTATTGTTCCGGAAGAGAATGTACTTTTACTGTTTGCAGCTGAAGCTGATAAACATAACGCTTGTACGACTGATTTTTTTCTAGAGAGGTTAGGAAACAAACAAGGGACACTTGTTTCGCCGTCAACACAATAGCGACGGTTATGTGACGTGAAACACGAAATATCGATACATTTTAAACCGAACGTGCGATAGTAACGTAATACAACTCACTCTTTCCTTACAAATATCAAAACTGATCACAACACTCCTTTCTTTTGGCACTATACTTCCGAGCTGTCTCCGGAAATCACCCAGAATGCGCAAAGCGGACGCGCATGCGATCACAATCCACGCGTTCTCGTCTTTTCTGTATGACAGATGTAAAGAAATCTCTTTTCCTTTAATTACACTACGCTACACTGTGTGCAACTATGTTTGTGCACTTAAAACAAAGTATGCGTATGCTCTTAACTTGGTGGAAGAATGAAGAAGAAACAAAGATAGGAAGAAAGTGCAGAAAGTGCAGAAAGAAAGGATAATCCTGTTTAACCCAGAGAGAAAGTATTCGCACCCTAAGGACGCTTGTTTTATAGCACAGGCATGAACCAAGTGACTCGACCGATAGAGCAGAATAATGGGTGTGATTGATATATATTTTACACCTGCTTCTTCAGCGTCAAATGCGCCTCAGAAATCCTTACGGCAAGATTGCTCTCAAGATTCCCTCTGTTTTGAGTATGTTAATCAATAATCATGATGAGCACGTATTGACCATGTATCGGTAATAGAAGAAAAGATTGGAAGAAGATTAAAAGCAAATTTATATGTCATATCATGTAGTAAGCTTAATTTAAAACAATTAAAACCCACGATGTAAATATATTTTCAGGTGACTTACATTAGGTCACTAAATCCTTTTTAGTGATAACTTTACGACTGAGGATAACTTTGCAAGTCATGATATCAAAACACCTTCAGATATAACCGAACAGACTCTTAATGGTGAGATTGTATCGATGGTACAACGGTTATCTTGCGTGGAAAAGATGTTATCTTCAATGGAATTTATTTTATCAGAAGTTATATAAAAAAAGAATTGGAAAGAGTTTACGGGAGGATTTTTAGCTTTCTTTTACAACTTATTCTTTTACGGAAAGGCTACTTCCGACGCGACAGAACATTTTGTAGAATACCATATATTTCAATGACAAAAGGTTTAAATGTTAGTTCCAATTACACGTTTCTCAGTCTCAAAGAGACATTTCGCTTCACAGCGTCGAGACTTTATTCTATTTTCGCAAATTTGCTTTTACCAAATCGCAGAACTTTTTTACACGTGTCATCACTTTATCATCATCGACTTATGCGGAAGTCCCAACAAACAGTTGCGAGAACTGAAAATATCCCGAAAGATCCTACAAATGTCTCAATTTTCGATAATCGAGTGGATTCCTCTTTAATCCCCGATAATATTCTGACATTTTTCGAATCACGAACGTGTATGTGCAACAAACGCGAAGTCGACATGCTTTCCCAGATTCAAAGGTTCGTTTATATATGGTATTGCCGAGATTGTAAAGGCCTTTCATGTACGTCCCAATTATCGTTATGTAAATTGACTCTGTTTTGTGATGTGTGCTCTACACAGGATGAGCATAAACGCGTCGATGCCTTCGGGCTGCGCTGCTACGTGGATCCGAGATTGCAATCGTCTAAAGTCAGAGATCGTTCAATTTCCAACGAAAAAAGACACGGGTGTGCACTTTACGTATTCCCGAATAGATGAGATTTGCTACTCTACATTTGAAGGATCGCATCTGTCAGTCGTTAGTACGTTTGAATGACTAAACTAGCTAGGACAAACCGTAAGTCGAAAGATCGAATATGAGGCAAATAATCGGAATAATCGGAATAAATTGGATAATCTTAAAGAATAAGATAAAATAAGGAAATCACACGTTACAAAATATTATCTAATTACTTGTCCGATGCATATATTTATTTTTAATTAACAAGAATCTATCATTATTATCTCCAGAAAATACAACAATGTAACATACGGAATCCTGGTGGTCCCATAAGATTTAGATGTGAGGTGTGGAAAACGGAGGGGAGGAACTTATTCGGAATCGAACGCGCGAACAACTAGACAAAGAGATTTCTGGATAAAGATTGCCAGTGATTCCCGAGGTATAACAAGACGTGTTCGGCTGTATGAATATCGTCACAGCGCTATTGTGGGACATTGCATCGATAAACTGTTTAGGCGGATTATAGCGACTGGCTCTTTTGTCGCATCTGTCATAGAGGAAGCCTCGTTATTCCATTTCTATGCTATATTTCGCCGGAGACCCCCATTCAATTCGTCCCGCGCCTACATAGTTAAGTCGGAATCGGCACATAATCCAAGAATGGGATCATTTTTGACGATCGGCAATGTATACATCGTGTACGAGTGCGAACTTACAAGTTCTCGTCTGGTTGTACATTGACGTGCCGTCTGAATCGTACTATTATTACCTCATTTCCACTTTGATTGGCGAACGCAAGAATCACCCGGTTTCGGCCGAAAAACTCACCCATATTAATAGGCGTTTCATAATGTTCACAGACACCTGAGGAATCTGGAGAAACTGTTTCTTCCATTTGCGCACGTTGGGATTACACTCGACGGAGGAAGCTCATTTTGGATAGATCGAGAGACGCGTTTCCGTTCATCATAAGGGAAATAATTATGATCTCTGCTTGGCGAGGACAATACGATATCGGAATCGCCGATAAATCCTCGCACACATCGCGATTAAGAAGCACAGCGTGAGACGCTTTTTTTTTTCCATTTTTATCTGACGCAGAAGGAACGGCAGCATCGGAGGGTGCAATTCATATTTGCTGCCGCAGTCAGCGGCGGAATTGCACCTTTAATCAAGATTTCTACCAATTTGCGAGCGCCGACGGCGCGAAGACAAAGCCTATTGTTGCCGTAACTGGTCGGAGCTTCAAGTGTTCCAACGCAACGGTGAGAGCCTGATGCGCGTGTATACCGGGTGTGCTTACAAGAGGGACCGATACGCACGTATCCGATGCTCGTGATTTATTAAATCATTTTCTCATTCGTCGGATTCCCAGAGCAAATCAGAACAACACGAGCGAAAGTCATCAGACGACGTGCGTGAAATTCATTCGAATCACGCGATATTGATTTTGCGATCAAATTGACACGCATTCTCATTGGACGTGTCTAAACTGAATTCTTGCTTCGAAGTGGCGGCTAAGAGTCTGGGATTGTCTATTTGTGCGTGTTGTAATGTATAATGATTGTGTTACGAGCATCACGGTTAAATCTGCCGATCATTGCCTCCTTTTATCGGCTTTCGACACTGATTATTGAATTACTTGGTTCCGCATAAGAACACGACGAGCGTCTTCCGATATAATTGATCGGCGAAATAGATACCTACTTGCAGATTACCCTGTATACGCGCGTCTTCACCGTCGGGCCGGGATATGAGAAGAGGACTCCGTAGTGGAGGTTGACGCTCAGGGACCGCCGAGCTAGTCGCTTCGCATCCCAGAAGCCTCTACCCCACCGTTCGCTTCCGGCTAAGCCCGCTGCCACCGCGTACCAAGCAACTTGAAGCCACTCGTACTTCTGTTTGTGTTTGCTAATTGTGAATTGTCTACTTCTTGCCGGTAGTCCGTGTGCACGCGGCACCGGGAGCAAGGGAGACACAGACGTTACCTGGGATGCGAATAACGGAAGACAGTGTGAGAGAAAGAAGGAGAAAGAGAGAGAGAGAGAGAGAGAGAAAGAGGGAGAGAGAGAAAGATAGTGACGGATAGATAGAGAAGGAAAGAGAGAGAAGAGCGGAAGGATGCGGAACACAAGCCGTACGAGGCGAAGTGAGCTTCCGGCTGGAAGCACATCGCCTACGAAATGCTCGGACCGGGGAAAAGCCACCCCTTCGAGCCGGCGTCCCCGCCTAGGCTGGCGCGTCTCTCTATTCCTGCACCCTTCCTTACACCCGTCGCCGACCACTCCGCACCTCCGCTTCGCTTTTATGCCGTAGACACTCGAGTTTACCTCACTAGTCGGTGCTCGCACCATCCGCTAAGAGGCACCCGCGAGCGAGAGGATACCAATTTTTAGCTTCTCCTCGAGCTGCCGACGGCTCAAAGGCCATTCAATATCGAAAATACCGAAAATGCCGGAGAGGGGACAAGGATCGAAGACTTTAGCGGAGGAAATGGTGGCTCGTCATGCTTCAATCAAGAAAGCCCTAAACGATAAAGAGCCTTCAGCGACAAACTTCCCTCCGCTTTTGATGCCATTTTGAAGCTCTTAATGTCAGTTCGCGCTTACTTAGATGGCCTATAGACTGACAAAAACCTACTTTGGCGATATTGCCACTTATTAACTTCTCTCTTGAACTTTTAACTCTACAGATTTAATTTCCACGCTACCCCGAACGATCCATTTTGACGTTAAGCGAGAATGGAAATTTCAGACTAGGTTCCAAGTAGGAACAAATGATATTAGAATCGAACTGGAATCTATTTTATTTTAAGCTTCTATTGTGTTGTAAAATTCAAGGTGAGGCCAAAATGTCGACTCGGGGCTGTGAAAAGCCCTCGAGCGAGAGTCACGGCGAAAGAGGAATAAAGAGTAAATGATAGATAACAATCAAGATATCCCGGATAAATAATTGACATTGCAACAGTAGACAACCGTACTAAAGAAGCGAGATTGTTCATGACTCATTTGGAGATCCGGAATCCGTAAACGCGCTCTTCTTAATCGTGGGATCGGTGGCGATTTAATGAAGCGTCGGCTGCGGATCAATTCACGATAACGAGACTCGATTTTCAATGTCGCCGGCGTGATATCGCCCCCGCGCGAAATAAAACGGTGCCGCGGCGCATTGTGAGGAAAACGCGTTGGCGCACCCTCCGTCGGATGCTGGCCGGGGCGGCCGCTCGAAATACACCCCGTCTCTCCAGAGACAGGGGACATATTGTTTGGTTCAGTAATTCCTCGCGTTATTTCCCGTGTTTGCTTTTTATCATTGTAAACTGATATATTGTCCGGGGTAACTCCCCTCGATGTAGAAACTTACGGGCGACGGCGGGGGCAGGCGGGGTACACGCGAGCGTCGGTGGCGGAGGGGGCGAGACGTAATCGTTCGGACCGGCGCGGAGTTTCACTTCGCAAAATGATGGAAACGAGATTACTCGACAGCGCCGGGCTGCCTTCTTTATTTTTCGATACGGGCCCGCGGCGCAATGGAACACCGTTTTTCACCCGCCCGCGAATATACGCGCCCGAAAATGAATTTGATAGAGTGACAGCGCGCGCAAACGCGCGCTGGTCTATTTTTCACCGGACTCGATATTTTCAGTCGTTGGTCCGTGTTGGCGTTGGAAGAAAAAAAGAAACTATCCCTATCATGGACACAGCTTGTTTTCTAATAGAAATATATATATGGCGGAAAACACGAAATAATTTGATTAGAAAGCGATGACGTCGACGTAGGATGTGGGAAGCGGCGAATGTTAATGAACTGACGACGAGTTCATTTTGTCAGAAGTGCTTCGATACGAAGTAATAAGCGGGACTTGTACGAGCGAGAGAAATAGTTGCGGAATCGGTTTGAAGATCTCGAGGAGAAATGTACCCAGCAAATAATCTTGCGTACACAAACGGTCCGTCCAGGATTTTGGTGTTACTTTAATCAAGTTAAATAATGTTAATTCAACGTGTTTACGTACTTATTAACGTATTCCCCGACGTTACGTTAAAGTGAAAAATTTCGATGAGTCGTTTTGTAACCCAAAACTTTTCACCGTGCACTTCCATTTCAAGCATAGCGTATAAGCGACGATTTATCCCTCCGTCTCGTTTTAACGTTTTATTTTCCTCTCGCGGTTATCGATGTACGTACATTTTTCCTTGGCCGATCGCGGGCCCGTCATCGCTGAGATATTGTATTGACACGTACTTCGCGTCACTGTTTGAGCTTGAACTCTCGAGTGTCGCGTAAGTACTTGCGTGCGATACTGTGATATGTACGCTCGTCATATGGCGTGACACGTGCGCCAACGTTAAACTCATTGCACGGCAAACAACGAATTAAGTCTCACCGGCCGTCCGCGCTTCCAGGCCCGAATCAAATTCTCCGTAGCTTGAGACTCGTCTCGCGACGGCATGCATCGGCCTGTGAAGTTAATTGCGAACCACCGTTCACATCGTTTCCGCGTTTCCGTGCTAAACCGACACCGACAATCTCGTGATTAAGAATGGAACAACCAAGGTAGTTCGTTCACTACTTTCGTTGTTCTATAGACAGATAACGCGTCGTGCTGTCGCACGAAACGTTGAAAAGGTCTGAGACAGTTATCCGGCGTCGCCGTCGAGTCCATTTGGAATTCAGGTACAGTTCGAAACTCCGAGATCCACACTGCGATGAAGACAGACCTATCGGCGAGACGGTAATTTCTGCTCCTCTTCAGTTAATTACGCGAGGGAGGCATTGATACCGGGACGGGTAGGAGCTACCCGAGGCACGATGCTTAAAGGGCAACGGTGTAATCCGAAGAAAGGCGTCGAGGCATCGCGGCGTCGCCGGTAAGTGGGGTGCGAGTGAACGGTGGTAGGTGGCTGAGGGGTCGAGGTGGTAGCAGAGGTGTGGTTGCCGGCGGGGGTCGTCGTCTTAGCGAAAGCTGGCATGATCTAGCACGGAAGACAGGAGTCTGTCTGTCTTTATCAGCCGGGCAGGCAGGTAGAGCCGTCGCTACCCCCGTCAGCCACCCCCTTCCACCCGTCGAGCGTCTAGCCGAGAGCTGTGCCACCGATGAGAACACCCGATTGGCGTTTCTCTCTCGAACGAGGGAGGACATCACGCACCCCTATTGGCTCCTCGCGAATCCATACTCGGTATTCATTCGCCACCCCATTCGCCGACCCCTCGCGGGGCCGAAATCCCGCGTTCCTCTCCTCTCCTCTCTCCCGCTAGGGGTATCCTCTCTCACTTATTCTCTCTCTCTCTCTCTCCTTCCGTCACCACCTCGTTCGACACCCTTTGCGAGCGACCGGTGCGACTTCAACCCTCTCTCACGGGGCGCCTTTACAATGCATTTCACCGCCGGCGTTTTCACCTTTCGCCGGATATTTCTAAATAAATACTTTTTTAACAAGCGTCGCTCGCGAGTAGCGGCGTTACTGCGGTGCCATTTTGTATGGTTTTGTGTCGAGGAGGAAAATTGGATTTCCAGTTCGGGGCAGATCGGACAGCCGGTTTTCGATCTTCGCGGTGTTCAAGTAGACAAGTGTCTCTCGGAATATTGTATACAGAACGCGACTATAGCGGTTATCGGATTTTCTCGGCAAATTTACCGTCGGGGAAACTACCGATCCCAGCAAGCTGCTTGGATGGACACGAAAGTTCAAGTAGAAAAATATCTTGCAGAATAATACAGAACGCAATTTCAGCAATTATCGGATTTTTTTGTGAAAAATTTACTGTCGGGAAACCCATCAATCCGGGTAATCTAAGTGCTGCTTCGGTCGATTCGCATGAAGGGTTCATCGGGAGATCGCGATTAGAGGTCACGAGAACTCGTCTTCAGACTTTGCAGCCAACGAACTCGCGGCGTTTACGAATCCTCGAGAGAACCGTGTCACATCACCAAGAAGAAGTCCCGGACGGTGCATGAGAGAGAGAGAGAGAGAGCATCGCCGATACCTGTTTCCGCGAGCGGTGACATGGCTCGTTGGCAGACTCGGCTCGTCGAATTGGGCCAGTAAGAAGCCGACGCCTCGAAAGAGGATCGATGCAAAGTGTCGAACTCGAGCGAGGAGGCTTTCGTCTGCACTTTTGACGTCGGCGCTCGCACCTCGCCCTTCCTGCGCCGGGAGAGCGAGTCGGCGGCGGCGGGCTCGAGCAACTCGCGCGGCAGACAGAAACGGAATAGCCACGCCGTGACATCCTGATAAAAGCGGGAAGGAGAGAACGCCGGCATGACGGGGATGAAGGATTCCACGGGGTGTCGAGCTACGTGGGGACGGACCGTGGTCGCTCCGCCTCTCGCGCCGCCCACGCCGGTGGTTGTTGTTGCCTTCCGTTCCCTCGTCCTTCACCCTTCGCGCAGCTGGGACCTTCTCGCGGCTCGCCAGCAGGCAGCGCACACACGTCATCCTCAGCAGCGGCGAACGGCGCCTCCAACCGTCGCCCCGGGGTCACCCGTGATCCATCCGCGGCGGCCCATCTGTGATCGCCGGACTCGTCGATTTCGACACCAGGAATTTCCTCGGTAGTGATTTCCCGCGTATCTGGGTGTGACCTCACCGGACCGGAGAACAGTGGCCTGTATAATCGGACCTCGTAGTGATAAACACCGTTCGACTGAGGTCGTAAGTTCGGCCGAGGATCGGTTTCGAGGGAAAATCGCGGTCGGAGGGAGCGCTCGGGAGGGACTCTTCGCTGGATGAGGATGACCGATCCCGATGATGCTTAGGCAACATCGTTCCCGGTTCAAAGTGACTCTTCGGGATCGGGTCTTCGGGTTGTAACTGATCTCGTGAGAGAGGAATCGGCATCGACGGTTGTCGGCGATGAGGCAGACGGACCTTTCAATGTTAGTGCGAGCCGTTGGTGGTCTATGAACGTGTGGACACGGAACGTGAATCGATTGGAGCGCGGAAACTGGAGATGTGCCGATAATGCCGATCGGGATGGTGTGAAGTTCAACAGCGGACTCGCCGCCGATGCTGTCTCGGATGCTCCGTTCTCGCGATGAGGAGCAAGGACTCTTGAATTCGGTGACGTCGCTCTGTGCTCGCGATGTGCGCGATCTGAAAGCAGCCGCGGCGAAATTGCCCACTTATCGAGGACAATATGAAGAACGCGTAACTGATGGGAAGAGGCTTGACGCGAAGCTCGAACTATAATCGATGTTGCACGTTTGACAGCTAATCGGAAATCGATGAGAGTGCCCGGGCCGGTAGGAAGGGAGTCGTGTTGTGAGCCGTGTTGCCGGGAACGAGATTAGACGGTGGCGAAAATTCACCGCTATTTCTGTAAGTATGCGCCACACCGGCGGAAGCGGACGGCTTACTTAGAAGTTGTTAATAAACTGACGCGATCTTTTTTACATTTTACTTACGTTGCTGCGCACGTCTTACCAGCTATCGATTTTTTTTAAACGGCGGAACAGGAATCTGCAATATGTTTTTTTAAGCGAGCATTATTTGTGAAACTTGGAGTAATATATATGAGGGAAATATACATTGTTGTCATTGTTATACCATAAACAGACCAGGCTGACATGTGCTCGATCGATTTTCACATTACGAAGATCGCTAACAATTGGACGGTGCTTCGCTTGCGATAATCTAACGCACTCGTGGATGCGTATATAAACCGAAAAAAAAAAAACGGAAGTTCATTAACTGCGAAAGATAGACCGTAGGATCAAAGGCTCGTTATAATTAACCAGATTTTATGGACGGGTAAAACGAAGATTCCATTTTCCAGCATTAAGGAAGTACTAAATGGATTAAAACGCCCGGCGCGGTCGCGTTTCATTCTCTCGCGCTGAAAGCGCGATGTTACGCGCAATTATTAAATTCGTATAAAGAAGACGCGAATGTTTGAGAAGTAAAGAATTGATTCATAATTGTTGAATTACTTTCTGACGAGAAAGCGATTAATTTCAATTCTAGCGAGGATTCCCTAGTCTCAATTTTGTCTCGATAGGTTCGACGGGACGCGATCAGAAGTTAATATATATAAATATGCGCGAAGGATGACGAAAGATCGTGGATCAAAATGGCGTATATAAATATTGCTTCGGAAAATTATAACGACGTAAAAAGGTACAATTGTTTCGTTGTATTTGAACATTCCGAAATTACTTATTTCACAGCTCGATAAGTCGAGTAGTTCATTTTGCAACTTCGCCTGTCGCAACATTATCGCCTATCGCAATATTATCATCACATTATCATTACATGTCACCTAATAAGCTTCCGATACCATCAAACGCGCTTCGTCATTCCAATTTCTTATCGGTCACCCGACGACTTGGTCTCGGGTTTCAACTTAAGTAGAGACAAGCTGCCTCCAATCAAGAAAAAAAGCAAATATTCTCTAAATTTCTCGGAGAGTGGAATCTCACTCTTAAAACAAGTGACAAGCGGTAGTATTTTCACACGAGGCGATAGTAAAAATACCGCAACTCGAAACCGCAGAAGTCAATGTTTCGTTCAAGTTTAAAGTAAATTTTAGCTCCATATGAATGAATGTTTCAATCTACTTGAGTGAACTCTCTAATAGAAATTGAACCTCGCGGGTGTCTAGCCACGAGGTAGTAAATTTGTGTCTAAAGTCGCTGTTAGCCAGTAACGTAACGTTCACTTCTCCTAGTGGTTAGATAATAGCTAGATAAATGAATTAGCCGATTGTTAAAGAAAAGAAATTACAATTATGAGATGAAAAATCATAACTGTTCGCCACATAATAATGTAAGCTCGCTTCTGCTTTCTTAGAATTTTTACAGAATAGCGTACCTTCGATTTTGATTTGCTAGCTCATTTTTAAATGCCAGTAGCGAGTATATAATAAATAGATTATATATTTTTAAATAGATAGTGTCATCTATTCTAGCATATTTGATATATAGGGACAGACAACGATTATCCACAATAATAGATAAATTACTAAACCGATTCAATATTTTAATCAATAATTAGTCAGTAACGAGCTAATAGAGAGCCGGAAAATTTAATCTAGCCTATACGAGTTAGCTACTAGCGTTTTTGATTCAGGCCGATTAGATACATTTCTATCCGGGTAGAAAACTGCCTCCTCCGACTCTAATTCTTTCACTTGTGCGATTATAACAACAAAATATCGGACATTTTTTTCTCAACGCGTACGTCAGATTTACCCTTCAATTTCGAGCGGAAAACTTCACGCGACGTTTCAGACTTCGCTCTGAGTGAGCGAAAAGTCACTCGAATTCGACTCGAATTCGAAAGTCGCTCGAAGACGATAAAGTGACTCGCTGGTCTCACTCCACTTTTCGGGTGAGATTTCACTTGAAGAAATTTGGAGGAAAGAAGAAATCGGCGTGCGAACAATACTCCTGATTAACCTCGTCGTCCATCTGTGCTTTATAAACACACACACACACACACACATACACAGCCACCTGCCTCTTCATCTTCTCCTCTCCTACCCCCGCCAGCTACTGCGCGACGTATCTTACTAACGACGAAAAACATTTAGCATCCGGGGGTAGCCCGCGAACAGTAGCACGGGGCGATCGTCACGAGGGGGCCGTGCGTGACAATTCACGTGGCTGCAGCGCAGCGCACGCGGTGTGCCCGCAAACAACAAAACGCACGCTCGAAGCAGCAACGGCGCGGCGCGGCGCGGTGAGTGCCACTGGAAATTAACGAACAATTAGCCAGCCTCGTTCGTGTTTTATAAACATGGTGCTCCCATCGACGGCCATTATTTTCGAGGATTCGCTCGCCTGCCTGCCTGCCTGCCTACCTAGCGCGAGCGGCTGCCTTCATGTTCGAGCGTGTCCGAAGTATCCGTGTATTCGAGCGAGTACTTAGGGCTTTCGAGGGTCGTGCCACGCGGAGGGCAAGGGGGCGGGGGCTTCACGAGGGGTTCTTGTAGTGTTTCGTTGCGCTTAAAAGCGCGGGGGGTTGCGGAGCGGCGCGGAAGGCGAGGCGGCTTTGGTGTTGCAGCCTCTTCAAACCTCGTGCAAACACTCCGGAGCGGAGCGTTCGCCTGGTACGACGATTAATATCCCAATAAGGCCTCGTTCACCGGGCTCACTCGACCGCGCGGCTTCGTTGTTTATTCATTGTATCGCCTCCGCTCTCGCGGGATAAACTGCCTCGATCCGCCGGCCGCCGCGGACCGTACGCTGATTCCTTGTTTCGACGGTTCCTCCCACTCTGATCGGGATTTATAAAAGGGGTTACGCGTGTGTGGGAGAGGCCCGACGCAACGGGATTCCGCGTTTGTGGGTGAGAAGAAATCGCGAGACGTTCACGTCTCGGACGTGTTACAGTCGACGCTTTCGCGGCCGCTGTCACGTGTGGCTGACTTTGATTTTGTAAACGGTCATCGCGTTATGAAGAGATACTTCCAGATAATAATAACAGTCTATTAAAATTCAACATACAGTCAACATTTCACATTTCAAGAATATCACTTTTTCCATCCTTTCGTCTAATTGTGAATATTTGCCTTTTCCGAAGATTCAAGACAGTAATAGTTATTGGCTCACATCCTGCATACAAAGAGGATGTCCGTCCCTTCTGATACGATCTACGTGAGCTCTCAAAAAGTCCGCCGGCGTGAGGCTGATTGTCTTCTTTCCGCGAGATGTGCGGCCATCAAAGCGTTTGTTTAAGATGGTTGTACATAAAAGTAATTTGGGGTTACGAAAGACATGCACCGTCTCCGCGTATGCGGTTTGCGAGTGTCGAGTAAAAGGCGGCGACGGGTCTGTTATTTTCGAAAGCAACGAAAACATGTCACGGGGATAAGTCTGTTATATCGCGCGATGACTAGGCTCGTTTTCGTGCCGCGATCTCGCGCGCGATCTCGGCTTTCGTTCGCGCGCGTTATACGGGCGCACGTGAAATTTGTCATCGGACATTACGAGCGCACCTGACGAATCTACAACGGCTGAGTAGCGGAGTTTAATGCGCGCGATTAGCATATTTATCGGGCGCGCTGTATCATTTCGCTCGTCGGTGTTAAAACGGGGCGACACGCTGCGACGTTAATTGCCGGCGCTGAGATATGACCAGCTCGGCCGAAAAAAACCTTGATACCGCTTTATTGGTCAATCCGCCCAATTATGCTCGACGAGTGTTAAAGTGTCCACCTTTACTTCACGCGAGTTTTATTGCGATCTAAGTGGAGTGAAATTTCGCGCTCGCGCGGAAGATCACTTAATTAACGGGCGGAATATCCGCCGTCGGGTGTAAATTCGCCGGTTGCGGCGGGATCGGCGCGGCTGCCTTCGCGGAAATTGGACAATTTAAGGAGGAAAATTGGACCGATTGGACGCCCGACGAGGAGTGCTTCGAATAATGGCCTTCCTTCCCCGTCGATATAAGATTCCGAGATTGAGATTAAAAATACGAATCGAATCTCGAATAGACACCGACCGATTCCGACATTTTAATAAGCGTCGACGTGCAATAAAAATTATGCGACGCGTTGCGAAATTGCGCCGGAGATCTCTTGAAATTTTGGGAGTAATTACATGGATACCCTCGCGATGTGGCAACTACGAGAGAGAGAGAGAGAGAGAGCACCGTACGTCTCGGAAACGAAACAATAGATACACGAGGAGATACATTGTTATGTAAGCCGCAGGAATAAAGAATTTCGTTCACCCCCACGTTACGTTCGCATGCAACGGAAGAGAGCGCGCGAGAACGTCCTCGAATTCAATGGGACCGCCGCGACTTCCTTTCTCGCTTTATTTTCCCCGGCGTGGAGTCTTGGGCATTATTACGCTACTTGATTTCGCATCGAGCCAGCTGTCTCCGATTATTCGCTATAGAAATTTCGGGGATTCCGGTTCAAAGGGGACCCCGGCATCCTCCGCTAATATTTGAGGAGGCCCCGCAGTCTCGGGTCTTACCGGACGTTGCACGGGCTTTCTCGTTCTGCGTTCATCCTCGAGCCCTTTTCTCGACGAATAGACACTTCTCTCTTTCTCTCGGCGAGATGCAGTCGCAGGGAGCGTCATATTGTGCTCGAGCGGTCGACGGACAATTTTTATCGCCGCAGGCCCAAACGGACACACTCGTCGTGCGTCGCAAGATCGATTTTTTACAATCCACTGAACCCTTCTCTCTCTCTTTCTCTCTCTCTCTCTCTCTTTCTCTCCGCCATTCTAAGAATAAAATTTTCATCACAGATTTCCTCACGTTGCCCCTAAAAATATAACTTTTCGATCGAGAGCCTCGATTATTATATCCAATTAACATTATGTCGCGGCTGATATATCGCGTCTTTCGATCTTGCGCGAAAT